TCTCTCTCTCTCTCTCTCTCTCAGGAATTAAATTTTCACTTTCCTTACAAGCAGCAAAGTGTTTTAGAACCAACTAGAGCCACTTACCTGCGGTTTTCACGTTCCTTAAGTGGGTCTAGCTGTGCATTTTCATGTAAAAAATTATAAAAAAAACTATATAAATTATTTTTATTAAAAATTATTAAAAAATATATATATAAATTATAGTAAAAAATAATAAAATTATATGTAAAAAAAATGTTATTAAAAGTAACATGACGTAGTAGCTCTCACCCGTGTGTGCTCACAGCGTCGTGCCCCGAGGGCTTCTACCAGTGCCAGGACAGCACCGTGTGCATCGTCGAGCACTACCTCTGTGACGGCTATTATGACTGTGACTTGGGCGACGACGAAGATTCCTGCTGTAAGTTGTAGTACAAATCTTTCTTTTCACTTGACCTCTCATAAGAACTAAAAGCTCATTATACATCTCAGCAATTAGGCAAACTAACATTCGAATGAGTTATAATAATAATAATAATTTTTATTTAGGTAAAGGTACATACATAAAGAGATTTTACAATGTTTGTTGGCTTTATAGATAGAGCTAGTACATACAATGCCTAAAGCCACTATTACGCAAAGCGTTTCGGGCAGACGCTGTGTTGTGTTGTTTACAAACACAATTCCGTGGAAGTCAAGAATAATAATATAAGTTCCGCCTTCATACACAGACACATGTCAACAATACAAGGTGACCTTTCCTTCAGGCAAGGAAACATTATAAGGAATCCTTCGATGGAAGGCTAGCACTATTATCAAAGAAGCTTTATTGACCTTTGTCATAATAACCCCCACTATTTACGAGTCCCACAGCGAGAGCCTCACTCCACGGCAGCCTAATGGCCATAACCTTTTTGTATATTGAGTTGTATATTTATAGTCAGTCCTATACAGATAGTGGGTAACTTCTTTTAACATTGATCCTCGTATAATTCCCTAGCTCCATCTGTACTGTGCATTGTTACCGGTGTTCCTTGTACCCTTCATCAACCCCCCGTGTACCTTGTAGCCTTCATCAACCCCCCGTGTACCTTGTAGCCTTCATCAACCCCCCGTGTACCTTGTAGCCTTCATCAACCCCCGTGTACCTTGTAGCCTTCATCAACCCCCGTGTACCTTGTAGCCTTCATCAACCCCCGTGTACCTTGTAGCCTTCATCAATCCCCCGTGTACCTTGTAGCCTTCATCAACCCCTCGTGTACCTTGTAGCCTTCATCAACCCCCCGTGTACCTTGTAGCCTTCATCAACCCCCGTGTACCTTGTAGCCTTCATCAACCCCCGTGTACCTTGTAGCCTTCATCAACCCCCGTGTACCTTGTAGCCTTCATCAATCCCCCGTGTACCTTGTAGCCTTCATCAACCCCCCGTGTACCTTGTAGCCTTCATCAACCCCCGTGTACCTTGTAGCCTTCATCAACGCCCGTGTACCTTGTAGCCTTCATCAACCCCCGTGTACCTTGTAGCCTTCATCAATCCCCCGTGTACCTTGTAGCCTTCATCAACCCCTCGTGTACCTTGTAGCCTTCATCAACCCCCGTGTACCTTGTAGCCTTCATCAACCCCCCGTGTACCTTGTAGCCTTCGTCAACCCCCGTGTACCTTGTAGCCTTCATCAACCCCCCGTGTACCTTGTAGCCTTCATCAACCCCTCGTGTACCTTGTAGCCTTCATCAACCCCCCGTGTACCTTGTAGCATTCATCAACCCCCCGTGTACCTTGTAGCATTCATCAACCCCCCGTGTACCTTGTAGCCTTCATCAACCCCCCGTGTACCTTGTAGCCATCATCAACCCCCGTGTACCTTGTATTCTTCCCCAGCCACCGCGGCACCTGTGTGTTCCGAGGACCAGTACCAGTGCTTCGAGGGCTCCTGCATCGACAAGCAGTTCCTCTGTGACGGCATTGTTGACTGCTACATGAGCGACGACGAGCTGGAGTGCAGTGAGTAGGCTTCACGTACTTACATATCATTTTGGAAAAGTTACCCACTCCACGCCCTTCAGGGTCTTTGTTCCGGACGGTAATACGAGTGCAGGTCATATAGAAGGAAGTTCTAAGCCTGAATAACTATCCAGCACCGGAAAGGGTTACGAGGACAAGACGTTTAGATATGAGGTTGGTGAAAAGGAACGGTGACCAACCATTCTGACTATCGAGGATCGAACGCTGACCCTGCAAGATGCAAGGCCGTCGCTTTGCGAACCAGTCCAAATGGATGGGCAAAAGATAATAATGTGTGCTAAGACGGTGGGAATAGTCAAGGGGTCACGGGGCCTTCCCATGGACGGATCTCGGTGGGATATGGAGGTCTGAGCCAGGATTAACTAAGTATTTGTGCGTTTAAGAACGAAACCTGTACATCTTTACTCGATCATGGCAGCGTACGCTGTATTTATAAAACAGTTTACGAGCTTGGAAACGTCACAACGCAAAGTTTTTATTGTTAAAGATAACTTCGTAATACTTCGGAGCTCAAAAACTGTTTGATAAATGTAAACCAAGTCATCATTATTGAGGAAAGATGTACAGGTTTCGTAACTGGACGTATAAGTGAGTGATGAATCCTGGCCAAGAAATGGTAACCGTAAGTGGTATGATTCTGGAACAAACGGTCCACACCGTTGGGAAGGGCCAACGGAAGGGAAGGAAGTTATGAGACAACGGTAAGCCATTGACTAGGAATCAATGGCTTACCGTTGATTCCTAGGAATCAACGGTAAGCCATGACTAGGAATGGCTTACCGTTGATGACTATGAATCATCCCAAGCGGGTTCCAGGACAGAACCCGAGCTGTGATAGGCGACGGAGTGAAGGAACGGTATTCAACCACTTCGACCATCGGGTAATCGAACGGAGACCTTCAAGAAGCGAGATCGTCACTGTACCAACCAGTCCCAGTGTCGTCATGACAAAGTTGGCGGGAGTGGAACAGGCAAAGATTTTATATTAATGCCTGTCTTTGTTAACATATAAATATTCCATAATAGATCATACTTTTGGTGGTGTTATCCACATTTAATATCGTTCAGCGTACTTAACTCTCACTTAAGTGTACATATAGAATTCATCTGATCATGTAAACTCTATCTCATGTATTATATAATTTGTTAAACGAGGATTGGTGTTGCAGGTGAGTGCAACGAAGGCTTCCTGTGTCCGGATGGTCGGTGTATCGTGGACATGTTCGTGTGTGACGACTTCGAGGACTGTCACCGTGGCGAGGACGAGAAAGACTGCCGTGAGTTGATGACTCGTATCATCACCTTCCTCCTCCATCACTACCACACTCGTTCATTATTATCGTTCATCTCCACCACAAACCCCACCACCACCACCACCATCATCAGCTCCACCACCACCACCATCATCAGCCCCCCCACAACTAGTACCACCACCACATCAACACAAGCACCACTACCACTAAAGAGTTCGTGATGATAACTACAAAGACCATCTTTACAAAAAAAAAATTCACACTAACGAACCTGTCTGTGTTTCACAGCTTGCACACCAACCGACTTCGTTTGTGCCAATGGCGACTGTATCCCAGCAAACTATCACTGTGATGGCTACATAGATTGCTTTGAGGCTACCGATGAGGAGAATTGTGGTTAGTATTGCATTCTGAAACAATGTCTCATTGTAACAAAAATATAACTATTGGCGATGCTTGCTGCAGTTGTAACGTAGCAATAGGCTTTCCTGTGTGTGTCAGCTGGATATTTAGGTTTTCAGGGCTTTGTTTTCTAAGTGCCTTCAGCCACACGATCTTAATTTCAAAGTTGCAAGTGGAGCTAATTGTATTTTTCGTTTATGTAGATTGTAATGAAGGGTATGAGAGCTCAGTAACTAGCCTTGTTTGTGTTAATCTCTTAGAGATGTTTTTGATTGGTTGATTTTGTTGATTTATCTTGTTTTGTTTTGATTTTGGTCTGGTTCATCGAGAACTATCTCATGAACTCTATCTCTATCTTTAGTTTGGTCGATCAAAACAAGATTGGTTAATCCTGTTTTGATTTTGTCTGCATATGGTTGATTTTGTTAATTTATTATGCACCCCATACCCAAGTATGGGTAGTGGGTTAGTTCTGTGGACTATTTCCTAGGTATAATGTAGTAAAATATGCGTTCAATATAACAACCATGATATAAAATGATAGCAGTGATTGACATAGGCACATATATTGGGGGAGTAGGTAGCATAAAATACAGTGCGAGCTTAAGGCACTAGGTAGGAAACTTTGAAGATGAAATTAAGTACTTTTTGGTATTTTTTTATAAGGCGTAGGTTGACAGCTTTTCAATTCGTTAGGGAGTGAGTTCCATAGACTAGGTCCCTTTATTTGCATAGTATTTACACAGATTTAGTTTGACTCTGGGGATATCAAAGATATAATTATTTCTGGTGTGGTGATTATGGGTCCTATTACATCTGTCAATGATCAGATCAGAATTTGCATTTAAGAACAGGGTTTTGTAAATGTAAATGGCACAAGAGAATGTGTGGAGTGAGTTTATGTTTAGCATGGTTTAGGGATTTAAACGGGGGGGGGGGGGGTGAGTGTTGTCTGAAAGCAGAGTTTGTTAGTGTCCTGACAGCCTATTTTTGCTGGGTGATGATGGGCTTGAGGTAGTTTGCAGTGGTTGAACCCCCATGCACAGATACCATAGGTAAGATAGGGATAGATTAGTGCATAATATAGACAGATGAGAGCAGAGTTGGGAACATAATATCTGATTCTAGAAAGTATACGAACCGTTTTTGAGACTTTTTTAGTTATGTGTTGTATGTGGGTGCGGAAGTTGAGTCTCTTGTCTAAGTAACTTTCCATCATTTGTATGGCTGATGTTGACATTGTCTGTCTGAAGCTGAATTGCATTTGTTGATATGCTTCCAAATAAAATGCAGTAGGTCTTTTATGTGTTTAGTGTGAGTTTGTTGGTTGACATCCATGAGCGAACTTTTTAAATCCGTTATTCACAACATTATTTAGTGTGTGTGGGTTGGGGTCTGAGTAGATGAGGGTAATATAGATTACCCTATATATGTTAAATCTATAGCAAAAATATAGATTAAAGAATGTTAGAGATATTAGGCAGATCATTGATGTATATAAGAAATAGGAGGGGTCCTTGGATGCTGCTCTGTGGCACTCCAACGGTTAATGGTAGAGTGAAGGAAGTTATGGTGTCTGTCACTAAGATCGGGTCGGATATAGTCCAGGGCAAGGCCTCGGATTCCATAATGATGAAATTTAAGTAAGAGGTAGTTATGGTTAACAGTGTCAAATGCCTTTCTCAGGTCAATGAAGAGTCCAATTGGGAACTCATTTTTGTCAAGGGCTGAGTAGATTATCAAGCAGACTAATAAGTGCATCGTTGGTACTCTTTTGGGAGCGGAAGCCAAACTGACAGGGACTTTGTATGTTGAATTATACGAGGTAGGAGTTGAGCTGTTTGTAAATAATTTTTTCAAATATTTTTCATAGTACGGGTAGGTTTGATATTGGTCTGTAATTGTTTATGTCTGCCGGATTGCCTCCTTTATGAACTGGCGTTACTTGTGTTTTTTAAGCATATCAGGGAAAGTATGAAACTAGAGATTTGTTGAACAGCAGAGCTATGGGTGGCGCAAGGGCATGGAAAACAATCTTGTATAAAATGGATGGTATTTCACTAATGTTCCCAGCTTTGAGTTTTAGTGAGTGTATGATGGACACAACATCTGTAGGGCTGACCGGTGAAAGGAGAAGAGAGTTTGGATAGCTGCCTGTAAGATATGCGGTAACATGTGTCTGTGTAGGATTTTTCTGGCATGGTTAGTACGAACCGATGAAAAGAAGCTATTAAATTCAGTTGCCGTTTCTAAGTCTGTTGCAGGTGAATAACCATCCTTGGAGAGTTTTATCTGGTTATGTAATTGTTGTTTAGATCCTAGGATGTTAGAGATGGCTCTCTATGTGCTTTTCATGTTGCCTTTTTCTTCTTTAAGTCTATTCTCATAATAGGAAAGTTTTGCTCTTCTTATTATACTTGTAAGCACTGATGAATACCTCTTAACTACGTCATTTGTAACTAGGTCGATTCTATTTTTTTCATATTCATGGTTTTTGTGAGCCCCTACAGCCAGGGGTTGTTTAATCTCTTGACAGTTACTTGCTTGGTGAGGAGAGGACAGTGAGTGCTGTTGAGGGTTAAAGTTCTGGAGAGGAAGAGGTTGGCTAATGAATTTATATCCTGTGTATTATTGAATTCTGATTCCCAATTAATATTGTGAAATGCATTTGTGAGGTTGCCTATAGCTGCTTCACTGTGTAACCTTAAGGTAAGTTTCTTGTTATCTGGTGGTGTCCATGTTTGCTCTGAGGAAGGTAGAATAGTGGTCAGTTGTTCTGTCAGTGATTATACCAGATGCAAGGGGAGCTGTCCGTAAGTGATCCAAGGTAGTAGCCGATGTTTAAGTGATTCGGGTGGGCCTGGTGATTGTGGGGATTAACATACAGGTGTTCATGCTGTTAAGGATATTGTCGACTTGAGGGCTATTTTGTTGATAGGTCAATATTAAAATCACCTCGTAGAATGATGTGATTTTTGTTGAGGTCGTTATTTGTGATAAGATTTCTTAGGTTATCTGAGAATGCAAATATATTAGTATTGAAAAATCTATAGATAGCTCCAATAATCATGGAGGATTTAAGGGATTTAATAGAGAACTGAGCAAAGGTATACTCACAGTAGTCGTCTGTGACACTATTGCGAATGAACTGTTACATATCTGTACATATAAAGATGCCATTCTCATCCAAGATATATTGATCACGTGTTCTGCCGCAGACGCGACAGAAGCACCGCGTGCCTCCAGGCCCCTCCGCCGCAGGACCCGCAGCCAGAACCACCTCCTCCGCAAGCTGGAAACTTTCAACAGGAAGAAGTAACTCTCCTGACACCAGCGCCCTCACCTCGTCTGTCTTTCTATATGGCGTCTCTCCTGACACCAGCGCCCTCACCTCTGCCATCTTCTTTAAGGGCGTCGACTCTTATAACTCATTCATGAACCAATAACACCTATAAAGCATTCTAAGGCGTTACCCGGCCACCAGTTCATCACCAGAATTAGCTCCAACTCAGAGTATTGACAAATATAACCAACACTTACGGAACAGCCAGGATGAAATGGCTATATGGGCCTTCAGACAACAAAGACAAACAGCTTCACAGACCAGGCAGTTACCACCAAAGACTGGCCCAAAGCCAGACTGTAAGAATGAAAGAGCTATTGAAATCATCCATAGGAAAAAATCAAGAGCCATGAGACCGAAAAGTGCATAGTACTTCTCGTTGCATGTACACCGAGTTCATTTTAGTGTTGGACTGTGTCCGGGACTAATAAAATACAACGCAAGACCCGCTGTAATTTGTGTAATATTTTACTCTGTGATATAAAGAAATTACAAAATATTTAGTTTTACTATATATAAACACAACGTTTTTGAATAAGTTTTAATTACATATATTTGCGTCCTAATACCGATTACCTCTTCACAACTAGGGATTTGACATTTGACAAGTACATACTTAGTAGGCTTATATCTAAATTTCCGAATAGCCTATGACACAATATCAAATACAAGATAAAAAAATGTAATTTGAAACTGTCACCTGGCATTGGCGGATAATTTAAATTCTATATTTGGAAAAGGCTTAGTGGGGGTTAACGGTAAAGTGGTTGAGTGCAGTTATTGACATCCATACATTCTGAATGTATGTGGAGTCAGCAGACATGATGCACTTTGTATATACATAATGTGTGTGTCATGGTTAACCGCAGAGCTACGAGTTGCTGAATGCTGCTAATGGAAGTAAAGATGTAAAGGTTTCACTCATCGTGTTGTCGCACGGTGAAGGGTTAATGCACCTCGGGACTGCATGGTTGTTATGCATTAAAATTTATAAGTACAACAGTGGTTCATAAGAAGATTCTGTTTCAACTCTTGTGTCACGATTGGGCTCGAACCGGCCATATTCCCTCCCTCTTACCAATCCCACCCTAACCAATCCAACCCAGCTCCCAGACCGCCCGCTGGCCTCTACCCTTACTCCATTGTTACCTGCCACGTGTAATGAGTCTTTAAGACCTTGAAGAAAATGTGATTTTGAAAACATAAAATTCAGTCAAAACAAATAAAATTCAAAGTAAACATAAATTCAAAGTTGACCGTGTACTTTACATATTGAGAGAAACAATCATTCACATCTTTGTTTACTGTAAGCGGACGATGAGTCACAACGTGGCTGAAGATATGATGACTAAAGCACACATTAGAAAATGAAGAAACGGTGACATTTCGGTCCGTCCTGGACCCTTATTAAGACGTGTCATAGACGTTCCTTTCTTCTATTACACAACTTGATAATGGTCCAGGAGGGACCGAAGTTTAAAATATAATTTACAACATTAAGATTAGTTTAGTTCATTTATTATGCATCCCATACCCATCCTGTGGGCGATATTGGAAAGGGTTACATAGGCACATAATGGGCTCAGGGACTGATATACAAGTCTTTCTGTGTGTAATGAAATAAGGGCGAAGAGGTAGAGCAGCTTATTGACAGAGCCCAGGTGTATTGGGGAATTGTGTAAAACCGGGTTTGTGTCTCGGAGAGACTGCAGGATACGTGTGAGGGCAGTTGCACTCCCGGTTGCAATTCTTTTCCACGTCGTGGCACAGTCGATTAAGGCGCGTCTGGGATCCTCTCGGACGTAGGTTCGAAACCTCATAACGGCCCCTGTAGATTTGTTCTCAGGGTCTGAACCCCACAATTCATTTAGCTAAGCAAGTTGCAATCTTGATGAGCTAGTTACAAAAATGTCAGTGCACATCGTCACATCAACAATGGGCTCGAGACCGACCACAAGTACAGTTTCTAAATTAAGCAACTGATATGTGTGGAAAGCTAGTGTCACAATTCAAATTCAAATTCAAATTTTTATTCAGGTAAAAGTACATACATAGAAGATGAGTTACAAACATAAAGTTGGATTTACAGATAGAGCTAGTACGTACATTACCTAAAGCCACTAACACGCATAGCGTTTCGGGCAAGGTGTGAGGGGGGAGGGGGGGGGAAATTCTTAGACTAAAACTTAATACTAATCGAGACTAAAGTATAAATTGTGATAAAAAAAGAATAAAAACGGGGGGGGGGGGGGAATGGCAGAAATCAGCAATTTGATTGGCTGTTTGGCAGCCGTGCGAAGCAGTTCTGTTTACATTCGCTCAGTATTGCCTGGACGTTTGGTGTGCACACAGCTGGTGGCGTTTTTTTTTGTGGGCTCTGGCCTGGCAGGATGGCGTTGCCCATGCCGCCTGTAAACCGTGTGGATACGGTTGAGCTGGCCTTCTCTGGTCTGGTGAACTACTCATTGTTGGAAGTTGCTCTCCTGGATGTGCTGGGTATCAACCCTGCAGATGAGTGTGGTGTGCAGCTGGCTGGGGAACATCGGGCCTTGGTTAAGCTGACTGACGCTGTGGTGTACCGGGATGTGGTCGACAAGTTTGATGGGCATACTGTACCTTTGCCTGGCGCGGCGGGTACGGTTTCTGTAACGGACTTGTGCGTTCCAGTGACGTTTGTGGTGGTGCGGGGGCTGCCGTTTGAGTTCCCAGAGAGCCTGCTCCGCCGGTTCTTTGGGGGATATGGGAGTGTTCTCGCCTGTCGGGCGAATGTGCTGAAGTCTGGCCGTCTCCGTGGCGTCCTGATTGGTACCCGCACAGTTACCATGAAGCTGAGGAAGGCGATCCCGTCGTCAATGGTGCTGCTGGGGTTCACGGTGCAGTGCTTTTATGCGGGACAGGAGCGCACATGTTTTCGGTGCGGTATGGCTGGACACCAGGCTGCTGGTTGCCGTAATGGCACCGTCTGGTTGGTCAGTGTCTTCCGAGAAGAGGATTTCCCGCCTCTACATGGCCCTTGTGGACCTGGGGGACGATCCTGCCGGGTTGAACCTCCCCCCCACCCCTGAACCTGCCGGTGTTGATGGCGTTGTGGGTGCGGTGCGCCCCACTGGTGCTGACGTGCCGGGTCCGGTGTCTGTGGAGCCCCCTGATGTGGGCGGTAGTGCGGTGGTCACGCATGTGGAGGTGCATCCTCCTCCGATTGCCATCGCCGTCGATGTTGACGCTTCGGTGGGGCGTGGCCCTGTTTTGTCGCCGGTGGATGATGTCGCGCCAGATTCTGGTGCGCCTGGATTGGTATGTGCTTCTGCCCTTGGTGTGGAACCCTTAGAGGCGGATGAGTTCTTGGAAGGGGGCTGCCCCTCTCGTCGTCCTTCCACCACTGCTGTCCAGGGTCAACCTGGCTCTCAGACGAAGCGCCGGAAAACGGCCAGGAGTGGTCACTCCGGGGACCGAGGGCCTTCGGTGTGGAGGTTAAAGCCTGATGCGAGTGTATGTGATAGTGAGGGTGTGGCGATGTCCGTAGTAGCCCCGTCAGTGCCGGGCGGTGGAGGATGTGTTGTGGACCCTCCTGGAGATCTCGTATGTGGGTCCCCTAGGGTACGGAGCCCGGAGTGGGCGGTGGTGGATCCGGGGGACTGTGGCAGTGATGATCACGGCCTTGTGATGAAGTTCCGGAAGGACTCTGGCCTCCCCCCCCTCCCCTGTGGGGAGTGCGTCTCCATCGCCTGGGATCCCGGTGGCGGCTGCTACTGCTTCCATACACGGGGTGTCGGCCGGACGGCAAGGGGGTCCTTTGGAATACACTTTTCTCTCGCCTTGATCGTTTTTACGTGCCTACTGGGGGTGGTTCGGTTTTTTCGTTGCGGACGGTTCCCGTGGGGTTCTCGGACCATTGCATGGTGGTGTTGCAGGTGGGGATTCTCAGCCAGGTGCGGGTTGGCCGTGGCTGGTGGAACCTGAATTGTGGGTTGCTGAAGTGCCCTGTCGTGTGTGCCCAGTTCCAGGCCCGGTGGGCTGTTTTGGCCGCTCGGAAGGGGCCGTTTCCCTCGGTTCTGGAGTGGTGGGAGTGGGCTAAGGTGGAATTGCGGTCGTTTTTTTGGGTGCTGGCGAAGCGGGAGGCGTCGGGAAGGTTTGGTCTGTTGAGGGTCTTGCAGGCACGGTTATTTCGCCTGTATGGGTTGCTGAATCAGGGTTTCGGGAGATCTCGGTGTGTAAGGATCTCATTTGTGGGCTGAGGGGGGTACATGTGCGGGCTGGGGTGGGGGAACGGTTGTGTGGTGAGAAGCTCTCGCAGTTTTTACTGCGGGGGGAACGGGTGGGGCGTGCCTCTGTTTTGTTAGGTCTTCATTGGCCGGACGGTTCGGTTTTGTCGGACACGGGCGCGGTTTTGCATTATGTGCGTGTTGAACTGGAGTCTTTGTATGGGGTGGTTGCAGGGGATGAGGGGTTGATGGAGTCCTTCCTCCAACACTGTGCACTGGGGTTGTCGGATATGGATTGTGTGGGTCTTGTGCGGGAGGTAAGCCCTTCGGAGCTTTGGGAGGTTGTGTGGTCCTTTCGTCGTGGTAAGGTTCCAGGGTCGGATGGGTTTCCGATGAAGTTCTATGTCGAGTTTTGGGATGTGCTTGGTGCCGATTTTTTGGAGGTGGTTCGGTTTTGTCTTTAGAGTTTGTCTCTGTCCGTTTTGCAAAATGATGGTCTTGTGCGGCTTCTTCCGAATCCGGGGGACTTACGTTTTTTTGCAAATTGGCGGCCTATTACGTTGCTAAATGTGGATTATAAGATTATTTCCAAGTTGTTGGCTGGACGTTTGCGCTCGGTTGTGGGGTCGGTGATCTCTTGGGGTCAGTTTTGTGGCGTTCCGGGTAGGTCGTTGGTGCAATGCAATTCCCTTTTCTGGGATTTGCTCCTCTATGTGGAGGAGTCTGGTGTTCCCGCGGCCATGATCAGCTTGGATTGGTCCAAGGCTTTTGATCGCGTGCCAATTGAGTTTGTTTTGCAGGTCCTGGAGAGGTTTGGTTTCCCGCCCCAGTTTGTGGGCTGGATACAGTTGTTGTACGCTGGTTGTAGTAGTAGGGTGTGTGTCAATGGGTTCCTTAGTGCTCCCTTCGCTATTCGGCGTTCGGTTCGACAGGGGTGTCCTCTGTCGATGCTTCTCTATATTCTGTTTCAGGAGCCCTTTGTTCGGGCGGTGCGTGCTTGTCATTCGGTTGTTTCACCATTTTTTGCCGAATGGCTTGTCCCTCAAGATTTGTGGTTACGCAGACGACACGGTCTTGTTTGTTGCCTTGGAGGGTTCTGTGCCTGCTGTTCAGGATTTGGTGCTTCAGTTTGAGTCGGCTACAGGGGCTTTGGTCAATCGTGGAAAGTCTTGTCTTCTGGGGTTGGGCCTCTCGTTTGGTGTGGTCTGGTTCGTGGTTTCCGGTGGTTCAGTCCATTCGGGTTCTGGGGATTACGTGGTTCAGGTCGTATGTGCAGTCTTTGGAGTTTAATTGGG